GACTAAGACAGATTTGCAAACAATATTTGAGAGTAATAGGCCTTTGTAGAAATTTTTTTTTGATTTTTTAGTTCAGCTCATGAAAAATGGGGGCAAAACAAAAGTGTTGTGTTTCTAATTTTGTTCAGTGTATGATCTTGCAAAGCAATCACATCATCAACAATACAGTGCAGAAATACAGTGGATAGTTCTCAAGTCTGTTAGAAATTAATATCATAAAATCTGTTTAAGAGGAGGATTTAAAGGTCTGAATCGCCTTGGTGTTGTATAGAGGTGGTATATAACCCGAGAAGAGCTCCTGACCAGTAAATGAGAGATTTATTGATGGGCTCACAACATGCTTTCACTCAAGGTTGTTTTGAAGCCTTTCTTGACGTAGATCTGTGCATTGCGAACATAGTAAATAATGTTATGATCAATATCCCCTTTTTACAATCCCAAGTCTGATAAATGGTTACTGTAAGTCATTCTGAGCTTAAACTATAAAAATACCTTCCTTTGAAGACAGCAGGTTAGTTGCACTTTGAACCTTCAAACTTTTTTTTAAACAATTCCATAGACACCCAAATTATCCTTCCCATATATATATATATATATGCTGTATGTGTGTGTGTGTGTGTGTGTGTTATTTGTCATGTACATATAGGCAACACATTAATGTCAGGATAATTAAAATATATCAGTTCCCAATGTTTGTCCTTACTTTGAGAAATATTTATTTATTTAAATGTTCACAAGGACCACCAAACATTTCCTTTGGGCTCCCTTGAACACCCTTGCCTTAGGACTGTGGGAATTAATTCTCATTCTTACCTTCTCTGATGAGCAAACAATGTACAACAGTGTGAAAAAAATAGGCATTTTTACAGGATACTACACAAACGTTCGACTATGCGGTAGCCTTATTCTTGCTCATTGTGACTGCTGCACCACTGAAAAATGTATCTAATCAAAATATGTTGATTAACTAGGGCTGAGCATTTGTATGGTTTGTTTGAGGTTCATTATAAGCTAAGGCTGCTTTGCTTTTCCCTCAGGTTATCATCTATTGTCAATGTCCTCATTGGTAATGGGTTATTTAAGAGGAAGCTGCTTAGCTTTTAATGCTCCTTCACAGAGCAGGATTTGGGCTTACATTTTACTGCCAAGGTTGATTTCCCTGAAAACACTGTCTCTATATAACAAAACATTTCATCCTGCTAGTCCAGCAAAGCAACATTGGCTCAACCAGTGGTTTTGACTGGACTGAGTGTTTTGTCTGACCATTGGCAAATATTTTGTTTAAAACAATAGTTATTTGATATTGCACATGCACAAATTAATTTTAAGGTAAGAAACTCTGTTTGATTATTGGAGCTGTGTCAAAAGCAAAATTATATATATATATATATATATAGCTGCTCTTTTAAAAGGATGATGAATAGTAAACAACAGACATCATCTGAGAGGTGCTAGAGAGACAAAAAGTGAGAGGAAAGTAATGTAAAAGAGAGAGTTTAGTCAGGCGTTTAGTGGCTGTTTTCACTCTCAGTTTGACACAGGCAGTTGGCCACAGTTGAGTGCTTTCCTGACAGACATCGAAGGAGCTGTTAATTCTCAACATGAAACATGAAGGCCTGCCCTGACACTTTATCACCTCATAGATAAGACAAGGACCTCCGTTTCTGTGGTTTTCACAATGTACTATAGAGCTATGCCCAGGGAGGTGATGGGCCTTTTGTGGGACATTTTACCTTGAACTGAAATTAAAGGGAGTGGAAAAATCAACCAACTCAGCACACAAAGTTCTAAATACAAATTAGGAAAGGAAATTAGATAAATATCTAATTTATTTCAAGATCTAATCAAGTCACATTTAAAGTTGTTCAGCGAAATTTTACAGGATAAATCCAGTCATACTGCTTTGTTTATAAGCGACTTTTGTGTTGTGTGAGCAGTCTTTTACATATTTTACACTATTGGTATTAGACAACCGACCTGATTTTGCACACAAAATTGTGTGCCTGATGTGCACCTGATATGACCAAACCTTAAAAGTATATTTTAAGGATTAGACTATTTAGGGCTACTTGCCTTGTTATCCAATGTGTTTGAGGCTAACAGATGAGAGCCAGACCATTGGTTGTCCCCATGAATAAAATGTTCTGATCAGAGCTAAATGCCATTGCTTTGGTAATTCTCCAGTTTGGGCACTGGTCATAGCAACAATGAGAAATTTGCATTTATTCAAGCTGGAAAATCATCAGCCTAATGCGTTTCCCACCCAAGAACTGAAGGGACTGGAATTCATTCTGGCTCCTAGCATTGCTGCCCATCCTATCGGGAGACAATTACCAGTGCGCTTCAAAAGCCGGCTTTGGGCAAGATTAGCTCCACTTCTGGGAAGGTGATGAAAGCAAATGTCTCGCTGCTGGGTCTGCTCTGCCCTGGGTCTGTGTAGCAGAAGTGAGAGAGGGGGTGGAATGCTTTTGGCCCTCATCATCTTTCAGGTCCAACCCATCGGGTTTCATGGCAGGCTGTGAAAAAAAAGAAGCTGTTCTTCAGATCTGGCCACACAGCACAGATGTCCTCCTCCATGTCACAGCGACTGGCGGATTTCACTAACGAGGCTAACGAGGGGACGCCTCCAGGCGAGATAGGCTCCCTCGTGTTTGCATGGCAAATTTAGCAGAGATTTAATCCGTCCTGGGGTGTTATGTCTGTACGCTGAGTGTGACTTAGAAAGATCTTTTATAACGGGCTTAACATCCACTATAAGTATTTCTGCGGTAGCCTAGAATGAGAAGATAAGTATATATTAGCCCGAAATTTCAAGACTCCCCAACCCATACTTCACTGCGTATAATCCATTTAAAACTCCATTAGACTCCATTTAATTAAAATACATTATACTGTCCCAATTTAATGCAGAGTAAGCCATTTGTTGGTTAATGTTCCCAATATGTGTAGCATCTCTGTTTTGTGGCGTTGTCAAAACATCACTTAATTTGTTTCAGCATCCAACATAGCAGCATTGGATTTACAAAAGAAAAGTTTCAGTTACCAGTGCCATTGTAGAAATTTCCAGTCATCCATTATTCATTTGTTCTGCAAGGAAAGTTTACTAAATTACTAAAATAAAAACAAAGCATGTATAGTATTCAGCTGGTCATGTGACCTCAATCACGGCATCTATGTACAAAAACAGCACGAAGTTCATCATATGTCAGAGAGAAGTCTGTCGTATTATTATTTTCTTATGATATAAAGAATTCTGAATTATGAGGTCATTAAAAATTTGCAACAAAGGAAAAGTATGCATTAATTAATCGTTTACAATAAGATCAATGACATGCTTTTAGAAAATAAATAGGGTGAATTTTCATTACATGCTGACTTTAGTAATTGTACTGAAAAGGTGCTTATATTTATTTTCAAAATAACATAACCTTTGTTTTCTTCTCAGTTGTTAGTTTATCATTCACTCTAGGAGGTACACAAAGCACATGCAGCACACACTATACAATAGTTTAAATAAATAGACCTATCAATAAGTTCTGGGGTCCATTTTTTCAGAAAAGATATATCTTAAATCTATAAATCATGTTCCGGAGTCGAGGTTCATGTAAATTTTAGGGTTGGTGATGTCACTAACCAGGGAGGAATGTTGTGTAGTCCCTACCAGCCATTTGTTGTAGTCCTTAAAAAAAAAAGATTTCTTTAAAAGTAAATATCTTCCTTTCTTTGAAATGTTTTGGAACTTCGCCGATTAAATGCTAATTATGCTCAAACAGCAAAATTGCACACTAACTAAAGTCAAAAAAGTTTAAAAAGTGAAATCATAATCACCCACCCCTTTAAAATGACGACGATTCCCAGGAAAAGTCTGCCGTACTTTGTGAAACAAAGACCAACTCTATTAGAGAGAGATATTTCATGCAGAGTCTTAGTTTTTCTGACTTGTGGTTTGGTTTGTGACTTGATTGATGTATAAATAATTCATTGCATGGCTCAGAGCCTCTGTGAGCTTGTCTTTTTATGCAAATATATATATATATATATATATATTACTCCACCCTTTTTAAAGGACAACTAATTACTAAGTCATAAAAAGGAGACATTAAAGTTCACATGAGTGGATGTTATACCTTCAAACACACCTTCATGCCCTTCACATTACCCAAATTTGAATGTTCTTATGTCTCCTTAATTACTCCAAATATAGTCTCGCTGTAAACACCAAATAACAATGAGCTTTTAATCACAATGTAACAGGTTATTAGACACTAATGAGGGAGCTTAATTGTTTGTGTTTGGGGGGCATCTGTTTGGTCAAACCTGCATTATCCTTTCAGTTTAAAAATAGTTTTGAGGGTCTCACTAGATCCATCTCCATTTTGAAAGCAACATCTTTGATTTGCCTGATGTCCTTCAGTGAAAGTCAAGTCAAGGCAGCAGATGTTGCCTTTGCAATAATTCATGATTATCTTCAGTCACTTTCTTTAACGAGCTTGTTGTCCCCATGGTGATGGAGAGAATGAGTCTCGCTACAATACAGCGGGGGGAAAGACAGCTGTCTATAAAAACAAAGCATCATGAAAGATTCACGTGTGTTATTACAACACAGGAAGAAAGTCAACAGTACGTGTTTTGCAAGCGATCAGTGAGGCGTTGAAGGATTTGGTTGTAGAGAGACAGTTCATGGCTTCACTGTAGCACACCTCTAGCAATGAGAAATGATCAAACAGAACACTAAACTTGAATGACATGTAAAGACATTTACACTTAAAATCAGCAGAACTAGAACTAGCATGTTTAAGGACAGTTTATTTATTCTACTTTATTGCCTTACTCTGTTTAATATTTGATATCTACTTCTATTAGAAATTCTTACCTAAATGTATGAGTGAAACCACTTTAAATTTTAAAATGGACAAGGGGACAGACTATGTCATGTGACAATTCTGTTTTGGCATATACAATTACCATTTTTTAAAATATTCTTCTCTTTTTGTCTTTAGATCAATCAGGACCATACTTTGAAGCTATAGTTGGAGGTAAGTGTTGTAACAGCTCACAAATGTACAAATATCCAATATGCCCTCAACTTACACACACTTTGAAATGTGCAGCTTTTGCCTTAAGTCACTATTTCTACCAGAAAGGTAGAATGACACCTTGGGGTGAGAATGTGTTAGATGACAGTTAGATGACACATTGGGATGAGAATGTGTTGATTATTGTGTTACTTGCAAAAACAAAAACAAATAAATAAAAAAATAAATAAATATTCAGAATGCATGGGTGTCAGAGGAGAAAGATGCGTTTTGCCTCCAGAACATTTTGAGAGCAGCACATTGATGATGGTCAGAGAGGCTTGGGTGATTTCAGCACAAATGAGAGGTAATTTGTGCACAAGATGTTTTCTGGCCTCAGAAGATTCTGTGGCTGAGCAAAAAAAAAAAGAAAAGAAAAGAAAAAGAAAAAACAAGTGCCACTGTGGTCTCACTTTAGCTCATTTACACATGAATAATCAGTGTGTGGCTTTGTTCTCATCCACAGAAGCAATTCGAGTCAGTAAAATCTCAGCAGGGTTCTGAGGAGCCGTGCACTCATAACCTATTTCAGACAACTGGGCATGCATATCAGGATATAAATTAGTGTATTTCATTGCTTTCAGTTGTCAAGTCTATCAATATTTTCATTAGCTAAATTTACACCTGAATCTAACTTATTATCTTGTTATCTGATTTCCATGTCCTCTCACCTTAATAAAATGTTGTTTAACTTGGTTCTCTTTTAAATTCCCACTTGAATTTATAGCTAAAGATGAGTTGAGAACTCCAAAACTAAAATATACCAAATTATAAGCCAATTAATCAGCCAATATTTGGCTATTTTAATATATAGGACAGCTGAGCAGAAGAAGATGCTGATAAATGAATGAACAAAATGAATGTGAGTGGCAGCAATTTCGTGTATGATTTGCCATCATTAAATTGTATTATAGCATCATTATTATGACAATTAACCACATTGATCTTTAGATATCAGATATATATAAACTATAAAGCACCCCTGAAGTGAGACCACGCCAGCTTCTGAAAAAATCTGAAGCAAGTCGATCAGGGTGGGCAGGAAGTATGGCAGGCGAACGCAGCTCTCGTTCCCTCTCAGGGAACCAGGGTTACATACGTAACCTGAGACATTCCCTTTCAAGGGAGCCTCGAGCTGAGTTAGAACGCGGTGGGAACCCCATACCCACTACACCATACTGAGAAACACCCGTTCTGTGTGAAGTCTTTGTGCACACCAAGAGGCAAGCAACCTATAGCCCCTGAAGTGGAGAAGTCAAGGTCATAAAATCTATCAAATGTATGCAGAGAGGACCATCCTGCTGCATTACAAATGTCAAGAAGGGAAACACCCTGAATCAAGGCCGTTAGAGGCCGCCATAACCCTAGTAGAATGGGCCCGAACAGCCATAGGTGAAGGCTGTTCGGCTACTTCATAAGCCAATGATATAGCCTCGACTATCCATTTGCTCATAACCTGTTTAGATGCAGGGGACCCAACTCTTGAGTGACCCAAAGTGGACAAATAATTGTTCAGACTTACGCCACAGGGCAGCTCTGTGAACGTAGGCATCTAATGCCCGAACTGGAGATAACAGGTTCAGTCGTTCATGATCTGGGGTATTAAAAGGTGGAGGATAAAATGCCTGCAGCACTATAGGTCCCCCAACTAGTGCAGGTCTAAACCTCAGTGTACTGTACCACGGAGAAAACGCGTAATAAGAGGATCTCGATTGAACAGCCACTTCGGTGCCCTGAAACGGATAACCGGCAGGGAACAACTGACTTGACTGTTCTATAACCCTCCTCGGAGGACCGTTTGGGGATGCAGACACCTCGGTGCCCTGAAACCGATAACCGGCAGGAAACAACCGAACTGACAGCGCTGCGACTCCCCTCAGAGAATCGCACCCCAGAGGAAAAACGATTTCTCAAAACCATCCCTTGGTTGCACAGTCACTACGGTGCCCTGAAGCGACGAACCGGCAGGGAACAACCAAACTGACCGTTATCCAACCCTCCTCAGAGGATCGTATGGGGACGCTGACACCTCGGTGCCCTGAACGGCGAACCAGCAGGGAACAACTGAACTGGCAGCGCTGCGACCCTCCTCAGAGAGTCACACCCCAGAGGTCGCTGAGGAAAAACGATTTCTTAAAACCGTCCCTGCCCCGGAGGAGCCCTCAGAAGCCTGATAGCCTTGTTTTTTGTGACAGTACTTTTTTTCTAAGCTTTATTAGAGATAACGACAGTCCTCAGATCTTGCCTACCTCTAACTACCTTAGTTCCTACGACCCCCCTCGGAGGATCATTGGAAAAAGCAGCTTTTTATATTTGAAGGCTCGTTTGGGGACACTGACACCTTGGTGCCCTGAAACGGCGAACCGGCAGGGTTTTGTACTTTGTGCTGCGAGGAGCTTAATAGGCTGAGACTGCTCCCGTCCAGCAGTCTCAGGAACATTAGATTGGTGAGGAAGAAACCTTTGGAATGCCGCTGAATGGCTTGTTTCTTAGTCTTCTTGAAAGTGGAGCGTCCAGAAGAACAGACATATTTATATCTTTATTGTCCCTTTTTTTTACATCAGAAAAAACATAAATATATACACATAGGCCAATATATAGTTCTGTGGCCACCAGCGGGAAAAAACCGAACTGGCAGCGCTGTGACCCTCCTCCTCTGAGAGTCGCCCCTCACATTCTTCCATGTCCTTATATACACTTTACCCACCAGGGCTGCCTAATAAAAATGTATTCATTATTTATGATGGCTGGTGGGTAACGTCGGGGTTAATAACGATGACACCGACTTGGGATAGAGAAAGCTCGTAAGCGTCACTTTAACCTGAGGCACTGTCATACTATGATACTCAATACCCAAACATTACTAGTTAGACATCTGGGGATTAAACGCATAAAATACAAACCGGTTTATTCCACAATCTCGACACCTCAGTGAGATAAGGGAAAAAAACGCAGTCACCTACGAGGAGGCTGAGATAAAGAGTTTTTCTGTTTTAAGATAAATTTCATCTAAAAAAAAAAAAAAACTCTTCTTTATTTCCAATCTCATAATTTTCAGCTGGACAGTAAATATTTAACTGGCAACAGCACAGACAAAACTTCCTTTTAAAAAAGCTCCTCTTTATTCAGCAGATATATGAGCTGACTTAGATGTTTGAATTTTCTATGAATAAATAAGTGTCTTTTTCTTAATATTTGTATTTGTTTTGTACTCTTTTCTTTTTAAACAAAACACTAACGGTACCAATTCCTCAGAACTGGAAATCGTTAGATCTGGCATGTGAAAGCTGAGAAAGGGCAGAGCCCGTCCCAACCCCCGCTGTCAGATCCGTTTGCGAGCCCCGAAATGCGAGTCGTCTCCGCGCCTCGGCAACAGAGAGACCCGCGCGGGGAACGCGAACCGAACCGTCCTCCTCAAAGAACGCCCGGCGGGAGCGGAGCGTCCTTGCAGACAGCTTCCCGCAATGCTCACATTGTCAGCTCCCTCGAGAACTGACTACTGGCATGCTCCACTCCCAAACGGCAACATAATAGCTGGTGTGTGTCCCCACCCGTGAAGTAACGAGGGCAGGGCTAGCCAATCTTGCTTGCTAACCATATAGATAGATAGTGATATATTGGGCTTTGACAAACAACAATAAATAGACAAGGACAGATTTCACAGAGAGCGCTTGCTGAAAATGCAGAAGCTAGCGCGGTCTGATTTCAGGGGTGCTTTATAGTTTCCTGGTCTATGACGTCACCCGCCTTGACGTTTCGGGCTTCCATTGGACTGATTTTACATGACGCTTCACGACGTAATAACGCAGAGCGTTCCCTTGAAAGGGAATCTTAATTGTCTAACTTCTTTCTTGTGTGACATTAAAGGTTTAGTTAAACAAATTAAATCACAGATGTATGGGTGATTCTTTAACTATTGTAGCTATACTTTTCTTGTTCCTGGATGAAATAATAAAATCTAAAAAAAAAAACCTTTTCTTCTTTTTTGTTCAAAATTATCATGGCTCAATCATTCTTTTTATTATGCTGTATAATTATGAGGCCTTTTATGAATGATTTTTACTGTTTTCCCCGTCCCTAAGCCAGACTTTGTGCCTTCAACCTCGCTTAATTCTAAATTAAATATTTAAATAATGTAGATTTTAAGTACAAATTATAAAATAATGTCTATTTCATTATTATACATATTATATATTGCAATATTTATTCACATTTTCTTATATTTTTCATAAGTGGGTAGAACCCTTGTCCCTTGGGTTCACTGTCATTTCCACCGCACTGTAAAAAATAGAATCCTGGGATCATTGTTTTAGGTTTGAATACTTAGTAACCATAGCAATAGAAACTCCACAGTGAACACATGGCTGGGTGAAAGGGTCACCTCTTTAGGGGGGGTAATGAAAAGAAGAAAAATCAAGATAAATATGACTAAAACTGAGAATATGTTTATTTCACATGGACGTAAAAATAACTGGATTAAATTAATTTAATAATGTGTAATTTGTGTATATTTAATGTTAACTGTAAAACTAATATTAACAGTTATATGACATCTTGGGATGAGACTGTGTTAGATTTGCCTATATGATCGAAGATTACATTTCATGGTAGTGACTTTGGGAGTCAGAAGAGAACATAAGTAAGAAGGCAGTTTATAATGGATGGCCTTAAAAAGAAAAATATACAAGTGCTTAAGCCTGCGATTGTGTAAAGATGGACAACCAACACTCTCATACAAGCTACAATGATGAGTACAAAAATTAGAATTAGTTACAAATCTTAGTGTTGCATGATATACAGAATCCAGCATTTTCAAAGAAGATTGATTTGCATGCATGTATAAAATATCACCATAATCCAACATTGACAAAAATGTTGTTTGTTTAAACTTGCCGGGGCCGTGACAAGCGCCTCTCTGCTCCTCCGTTTCTGCTGCTTTCAGTTAAGTCACGCTGGCTCTGAACGAAATAGCGTCGTGGAAACGTGTTGGCCTAGTGGACCTAACCGTCCCGTGTATATACAGACAATAAATTCTTAATTTATAAGTCAGATAATTGGCAGAGATATTTGTACACCATTGAGGACATATTTATGAATAAACATATTGATTTTAAATAATGAAATACATAAACTACACATTGTCATTCACAATGTGTCATTCGCTCAATTATGACATTTTTAATGCAAATATGACAATGTTTGAGATGTCTTGGTAATGACAACTTAACATTACCAAGACAACATAAATTGCAGATTCATTTTCAAACTTAAAGGGTTAGTTCACCCAAAAATGAAAATTAAGTCATTAATTACTCACCCCCATGCTGTTCCAACCCCGTAAGACCTTCGTTCATCTTCGGAACACAAATAAAGATATTTTTGATTGAATCTGAGAGCTGGATCAGTCCTAGATAGACTGCCTAAGGGACTGGCTCTTGACGGCCCATAAAGTCATTAAAGAAAAGGTTTAAATATTCCACGTGCCTACAGCGGCTCAATTAAAAGTTTATCAAGCGACGAGACTACTTTTTGTGCGAAAAAAACATAAATAACGACTTTATTCCACTATTCCATTACTTCCTTATGGGCGCATGCGCGAGAACTGAGACGAGGACGTTCTCATTCGTCTACTTCTTGTTACCGGCTGCTCACCGCTTAGGAGTTTTACCGCCCCCTACCGTATAAGATGATGTCCTGATATAGCTGGAAGCGCAAAACTTTCTGTTTACAAGCAGAGGAAGATGCGCGCTGTACATACGCTTTTCAATTTGCGTATTTTCCGCACTATAAGGTGCACTTAAAAGCCTTTAATCTTCTCAAAAAACGACAGTGTTCCTTATAATCCGGAGCGCCTCATATATGGATCATCATTTTATACGGTAGGTGGCGGTAAAACTCCTAAGCGGTGAGCAGCCGGTAACAAGAAGTAGACGAATGAGAACGTCCTTGTCTCAGTTCTCGCGCATGCGCCCATAAGGAAGTAATGGAATAGTGGAATAAAGTCGTTATTTATGTTTTTTTTCGCACAAAAAGTAGTCTCGTCGCTTGATAAACTTTTAATTGAGCCGCTGTAGGCACATGGAATATTTAACCCTTTTCTTTAATGACTTTATGGGCCGTCAAGAGCCAGTCCCTTAGCCAGCTCTCAGATTCAATCAAAAATATCTTTATTTGTGTTCCGAAGATGAACGAAGGTCTTACGGGGTTGGAACAGCATGGGGGTGAGTAATTAATGACTTCATTTTCATTTTTGGGTGAACTAACCCTTTAAGAAACCACTTAGCTTCATGGGTTAACATTACATCAAACTGTCATGTGGTTGGTTTTGACATTATCTGTCATGAGGCCATTATAACTGGTCATTATTAAAAGGCAATGTTTCGACCCTCAGGTCAACCTGTAGGGTCAACTTGAAATAGGCACATGTGATCACCTTAATTCTTCTTCGATTCTTCTTCGTTTTATAAATCAGTTTTGAAAGTGTGGAATTCTGTCTTTCAAGTAAGGAGAGATGAAGGTTGGATAAAAATGAACCGCTTTTTAACAATCCCCTAATACAAGCAAATGTGTTGAAAATGAGAAGTTTGCAAACATCAATGGTGAGAGCAGAATACACATGTTTGTCTGATCTAAAGAACAGAAACAAGTAGAAAAGTCCCCATGAACTTTGTAGTTTGATGGGCATTAAGTCTGTGAGATTTATGGATAAAATAATGAAGGACATTTTTTTTTCAGTTTTTCCTTCTATCGACAGACAAAGTATACAATAGAATCGTTGTGGTAAACAAGAGGATAAAATGAAAGAAAGTTTTCCAAAACTTCAGATTTCAATCATAATAGATGAAAAGCCTAAAAAAAAAAAAGAATCAATTGTTGTTTCTGTATACCTGAACTGAATTTGTTTGAAGACATTTCAAAGAAAGCCTTGTATTTGAAAGTCTCTCATCAATCTGAACTGAAGAACTGTAAAGACTCAGGTTGGAGGTGTTTGGCCAGGGCTCATCTCCTAGATGTTGGAGGTCCTTATATAAATCAACACTGCAGATCTTCAGTGGAGGATTGTACATTCAGCAATTGCAACTAATAGATATTTGGTACGTGTCGACCCCACTGTGGGGAAGGAATGTGTCTTTTAAAGTCTTGAAGAAACTTTGAAACATATATTTTTAGATTGTTCTAGACTAAATGGTTTGTTTCAAATTTTAAAGAGTTGGCTTAGAGAAGATATAGATGAAAATATATTTATATCTGGCCCAAAAATATGTTGCAAACAGATTAAAAACAGAAATTCTTTAATACATTTTTTAATTGGTGAAGCAAAGCTGGTAATGTGTATTACAAGGGAAAATAGGTGGAAAAACATCAGCGGAATGACTGAACCATGAGCTTATTTTAAAGGCTTTTGCATCTGCAAGGATTAAAGCAGAATTAGCTTTTTTTTTTTTTTTTTTTTTTTTTTTTGTGGTTGCATTCAGTGAGTTATGGGGACAGGCACAAGTGTTATGTGTAGTTGACCAAGAGGAAATTTTATTCCTAAATTTGTAATTTTATTTATTTATTTATTTATTTTATTTTTATTTTCTTGTGTGTAAATGTACATGTATTTTCAACGCATTCTCACCCCAAGGCGTCACCTTTGACCATGCTTCAATATTTGACATTTTAGGCGCCCTTTAGCATCACTTACATGACGCGATTCTACGGCGTCATCTAACTGATGCTAAAGGAAAGCGTCAGTTAGAGGACGCGGTTAGGTTTAGGTGTGGGGTGGGGGTAGGGTACACGCGATCCTAGGGCGTCATCTAACTGACGCCAAAGGGCGCCTAAAGGCCAATTTATACTTCTGCGTCGAGGGTACGCCGTAATGTGCGGCGTTGGCTACGCACGTAGGCGACGCCGTTATGAGCATTTATACTTCTGCGTTCAGGTCTTGTTGCTCTGCAGTACTGCTCCGAAACGCTAGTTGGCGGCGGAGAGTTTTAATGTTCCACTGTGTTTAGATTCCTCGCGGCTAGGTTACTACAAG